GGAAACAAGCTGCAATATGAATTATTGAACGCAGGAAAATCTGAATTAGGTGTTCAACCGTGATGAAAACAGTTCACTGCAATATGAAAAGTCATCAATAAAAAAAAACATAGTTAACTACAATATGATTGCATAAAGCAATAAGGTGAGAATGAAGAATGAAAGCATGAAGGTCCAAAGTAGTGTTTAGAAGGGAGATTTGAATACTAGGTATTTCTATGCAATATCAAATACAAGGAAAAGATCTAATAGTATTCAAGGGCTTAAGATTGAAGGGTTGTAGAGGAAGATGCGATAGGAATGGAAAATGCTATTGTAAAGCATTTTCAGGATGGTTTCACTTGTGCTGATGTCCAAGATATCTACTGAGAGTTGTGTTTGGCTTGAAAGGCTTTTTATAGAAGATGAGTAAAAGAAGTTGTTTTCAATCTTGTTGGGGATCGGGTTCCTGCTCTTGATGGTTTTCCCATTAGGATTCTTTCATCAAAACTGGAAGATTGGCAAATCTGATGTTTTTAGGATGATATCTAAATTTCACAAAAGAGGAATGGTGAACATCAGCATTAATTCTACTTTTATTGCTCTTATGCCTTAGAAGAGTAGTATTGAAAAGTTGGGGGATTAGGCCTATTAGTTTGTTTTCCAGCCTTTACAGGATCCTTGCTAAGTGTTTAGCTAAAAGATTAAAATGTGTTTTGCCTATAGTGATTAAAGGCCTTCAATAATCCTTTATTCAAAATAGGCAAATCATGGATAGCAGTCTATGTGCTCAATAAATTATAAGTTCTCGAATTGATCGTAAGAAAGAAAGTATAGTGTGCAAAATTAATCTAGAAAAGGGTTATGATAAAGTTGAATGGAGGATTTTATTGCAAACTATGAAAGCCATGGGTTTTGGAGATAGGTGGTTAAAATGGATTGAAGGTTGTTTGAGCTCAACTCACTGTTCCATTTTAATCATTGGGAAACTGAAGGGTTTTCTTAAAGTCATAACAGGGATTCGACAAGGATATCATTTATCTCCCTTTCTGTTTACAATTATGGGAGAAGTTTTCAGTGTGATGTTATATTCGGTGGTTTAAAAATGTTTGTTTTTAAAAAAGTTTGCTAAGTGATTTTCACGTTAAGAGTAACAAGACTAATGTATCCCATCTGCAGTATGCAGATGATACATTAATATTTTGCAGTGCTAATGAGGCAGAGATCACTGTTTTGAAGAGATTTTTTAAAGTAATTGAAGTGGTAACAGGGCAGAAGATAAACTTGAACAAAACACATATTATTGGTGTTGCATGTGACGATAGCAAAGTGCAACAGTTTGCTGAATGTATGAACTGTGAAATTGGAAGATTTCCAGTTAGATATTTGGGGCTACCTGTCTAACAGCTATAGTAGGGTCGCTTTGTAGGATCCAATTATTCAAAGGATACAATATAAGCTTGACTTATGGAAATACAAACTTTTGTCCTTGGGGGCCAAAATTATACTAATCGAGGCAGCTGTAGCAAATTTACCAATATATTTTATGTCCTGCTTTAAAATGCTTAGATGTGTGGCAAAAAAGACAAAAGCCTTGATGAGAAGGTTTTTATGGGGGGATCACGATGGTAAGAAGAAATATATTCTTGTTAAATGGGATAAGGTGTGCACTCCAATTGATGAAGGGGGCTTGGGGTCAAAGAAGATGCAAATTATGAATAGTGCTTTATTAACCAAGTGGTGGTGAAGATGTGCAACAAAAAAGGATCAGTTATGGCGCAAAATTTTAGGGGAGAAATATGGGGAGGCTATTGAGCATGGGATAATGGCAAAAGGATCACAGAAGAAATGTATATCATCAATTTGGAAAGGTATAGTAGCCCATAGAATTTCTTTTATGGGTAATATGAGAAAAACTGTAAGTAAAGGTAACAAAGTGAAATTTTGGCAGCAGAAATAGATTGGTAAATGTGCTCTTAAAGTTAAATCATGGTTTTTAAATACGGCCGCATCGCCATATCATGCGGTATGTGGTGGGCTCCCCATCAGAATTGACCACATATGAGCTTTTGACCTATGCGGCCGCATATGCGTCACATCAGGCCACATAGTAGCTGCATCCCGTATCACATCGCATCCCACCGCATCGCCTTCTGCCAAAATGTTTTTCGATTTTGCCCCTCGGGGAGGGGCAAAATGATCTTTTGACCATCCAAAAATGGGGGAAACTGTTTGGAGGGTATTAATCCCCCTAAACGATGATTTCCAGTCACTTTTTTTGCTTTTTTTGCATCAAATCGAAGGAAAAAAAAAATTGACGGAAATTTATTTTTCATTCAAAATTGACTCTCTAAATGGATGATTGTATTAAGTTATTAACTATTAACTCTTTTTTAGCTTGACTTTTGGTTTGTAATATCACTATTTTGTATTAATGGTTGTTGATGGTTGTGCTTTTGTGCTTACGGTGCAAATTTGTGCTTATGGTTGTTGATTGTTAAATGTTTTATGAAGTTAGTTTCAAGTTTATAGTTTCTATCAAGGGATAGTGAATAACTGGACACAGAATCTCCGATAGCTAATAATTTTAAAGTTAATCATTAAACTAAAACACCTACTATCACATATATCACCTCCATATTTTTTTCTATGCATTAACCTATTTTTTGGATTTTTTAAAAAAAATTTACATTTATTGATCGCATCATCGCGATGCACCCGCATTTGGGCCGCATCAGCCCCCACCGCTTTTGACCGCATCCCGCATTTTAAAACATTGGGTTAAATTTCCTCTTAATTTTGCTAAAGTTACTTCAAAAAGCAAATTTGTTTATGAGATGGTAGAAGGTAGTGGCTCCAATTTAAATTGGGATATATGTTGTTCTTATAGAAGAGTTAGTAATGAGGTTGTGAATGAATACATGCAACATTTGGATCCTTTTAAACAGTTTTATTATCATCCTGAGATAGAGGATAAAGTTATTTGGAACCTTAGTAAAAGTGGGAAATTTTCAGCTAGCTCAGCTTATAAGTTATTGTTTAATGACCGCAATAGATGGATGGATAAGGAGGGTGGAAAGATTTGGAAGTGGACAGTTCCACTGAAAGTCAGAGCCTTCTTATGGGTTTTGAAGTTAAGAAGAGTGTTAAAGATTGATATGCTGCGAAAGAAAGGGAAGATCATTGTGAATGTAGGTATTTTGTGGAAACAAAATGAAAAAAATGTTGAGCATTTATTTTTAGAATGTGTATTTGCTAATCAGGTTTGGACTAAAATTTTAATGGAAATGGATTTGAATGGTGTGGGACCAGTTCAGTTTGATAATGTATGGGGGGATTAGCTGATGAATGGATTGAGTAAAAAAGGCAGAGTTATTTGGAAAGTAGTAGGGCTGCTGTATGTTGGGAAATTTGTGAGAGAAATCAGAGAAAAGATAGGATAAAGATACCTATGCAGGTGGTTGAAAGGATTAGAAGTGTAGTGGCTGATTGGCTTGGAGTTAATAAATTCTGGTGGGTTGTCTCTCGGTCGGGTTTGATGTGTAAGAGATCATATACCAAAAGTTATAAGAGTGGGGATATGGAAATGTCCAAATGAAGGATGGATTAAAGTAAATATTGATGGTAGTTCTATGGGCAACCTTGGCCGTGCAGGGATTTGTGGGATTATTAGAGATAGCAATGGTGGTATTTTAAAAAACCTTTTGTGGACCAAACAGGGATTGCTAGAGCTAATGAAGCATAATGTAGGGCGGCAAGGTGTGAAATTGGCTAGAGAATATAATACGCCTATTGTATTTGAAGAAGAGTCAATGGATATCATAAAGTGGATTAAGGGGGAGACAATTTCCGGCGAAGTTACATAGTTGATATATGAGCTGATTGACGTTTGCAAGGAAATGTAATTTCCTATAAAAACATGTTTTTAGAGAGAACAACATGGACAATCTTGTGAAGGTAGGAGTCACTGCTAATGTTTTGACTACTGGCAAAAAAAAAGGGAATTAAACAGTAGTCAAAACATTAGCAATGACTCCTACCTTC